GTGGCAAAGCTGCGGAAACGAGTTTGTGTGTCCTTGGTTAGCTGTCGCAGTAGTGCTTTTTAAATGAATGAATGTTGTTTTTGTAAGTGAATGATGTTATCTCCATTTTGTATATTCTACAGAATATAAATAGAAGAAGGCAGATATAGTGATCACATAAGAAAGAGAACGTGCTTTAGAGCATTGTAAAGTGTACAGTGGAGTACAGTTACAGAAGGAAGTCCCTGTACGTTCTTTGGTTTGCCGTTGTAGTACATCATTCTTTTTTTGAAAGAATGGTGTTCGACGGGTGTGATTGGTGGGGAGGTTCGGTATAGTTTGTTTTCTTGTTTGTTTGTTTTTGATCACAGTTTTCTTTTCTTTGCATGATTTAAGTATGGTGTTAAATGATCAAAACATACATCATTATGTAATGCTATGTATTGTTATATATTCATATCGAATCTCAAGGGTGGCGTTTGCTATAATTATAACATGGATATAATATGCTTTATGAAGATAATCGAACGCAATAACTTATTTCTGCAACTGTATATAAACAGCTGGCCACAAAATGACCAAAACCTTATAATTACTTTTTCATGATTGTTTCTTCATGTATATATATTCATTATATATTCATATACATATGTACGTGTGTGTGTGGTGTATGCGTCTGTGCACACACAGACACACACACACACACACACACACACACACACACACACACACACACACACACACACACACACACACACACACACACACACACACACACACACACACACACACACACACATATCTGACTGCGATGATCCAGTGGTTAGAGCAATCAACCGCGTCTATTCACCATCTGGTGAATAGACGAGGATCGGTACGTCATTGGGATGTTGTGTGAAAAATCTTGTCTACTATCAATGGGCAATATTAAGCTCAAAGTTTATTGTCCCCTGAAGTCTTCATATTTCACTAATATCTAGTACAGTCTTGCCAGATACTTATAGGTGTTATGGCAGAATCATCAAAATATGTGGGTGCCTTAAAACTGGAATAGATTAATGACATCCCACAAAGGAAAACAAATTTCCCTTTCCTGGTAGAACCTTGATTTGTAAGGATATTAAGTGCAGGTTTTGTTACTGACACCTACATTTTTAATTGTTTCATGTGGGAATGTTAAACTAATATTAACTTGTTTTCAACCAAAGCCAAGTCAGTGGCTACAGATTTGTCAAGTTACCACATTTTTTTTTTTTTTTTATAGAAGAATAGATCAAATGGTGATCTGTTTCATTCATAAATAAATAAACCAGCACTTCTGGAGGTAGGCCATGACAAACAGCACACTGGAGCCTTATTTTTTTCCGAGTGGCTGAGGTACTGGTGAGGTGGATTTTGGTCAACAGTTTCTAGAGATGTTTACTTATATTTGTGCCCACCTTTATTATTATTAGTTGATTCTTAGTGCCCACTGCTAGCATTCCAGAAATCTTTCAGGGGGTCTGACAGTTCACCTTACTAAAGAAACACACTGAAAAGCAAAGAACATATCTCGACTATATGAGGGGTAATAACTTGCTCCCTCTGTGGTGATCTTACAGAGTATCAGGTTTTACTCAAATTACCAATACTTTGCTTCCCATGTGGCATTTTTTCCCCTAAAATAAGCAGACTACTCTCCTTCCTCTGTGGTGATCTATAAAGTCTTTTAAACTGGATTCCACTAGCCATGTACCTCTGGAATCAGATTGAAGTCAGGGATTATTACTCTTAACCTACTGGGGAGAATTAGGGGCCACAGAAATAGAGTATTCTTTGCTTGGATCCTACTCTTCTTTGTGGGCAATGAGGATCTCTACTCTTATAATCATCTTGGAAACATGAAACTATTTTTTTGTTAGAACATCACTGAAATGTTCTGAAAACCTATGCTTGCCTATCTTGGTTAAGTGCAACAGTGATGTAACCAAAACAAGAGGCTGACTGGCAGGTGGTGGTCCTAGGGCCAAAGTTGGTTCCACTAACTAACTTTCACATTCTGTAAAAATCACAGTTCAGCCTTACCCCCTGCCATTAGTCCAGATAACCTGCCCCTGCACTTTACTACAGAAGGAGCAAGCTACACCCTATGAGGATCCTTTGGGCAAAATTTCTAATCAAACTTTGCTTGGCTGGATTTTTTCTTAGGCAATAGCACGGACGTGAGCACTGACACCTTAGACAAGTTTCATAATCATTAGTACTGCAACAGTTATGTTAATCTAGTGCCTGATTGTGTTGGAATTCCCTTCACATCAAATGCCTGCTGGGTTAATCTTGCTGAGATTAGAACTAAGTGTGTTATGAGAAGCACTGTGTTCAATCTTCCAGTAAAATCAGTACCAAATGGATTCCATGACAAGCCTGCTTTGTAATTAGAAAGTACAAAACAGCAGTAGTGGGGACAGGAATACTTAGCTTCTATAGACAATGCAAGTTACATTGGTTTTT